CATATATATATATATATATATATATATATATATATATATATATACATGAAGAAATATAGTTTTAAGGTGTGCTATATTTATGAGATAAAGTGCTCAATATCAGAGATAGAGCATACGTAAATATAAATATAAATATAAAAGTGAACATTGAAGTCAACACTCAGACGCGACAGAATAGATTACCCACTATGCACCAGTGACCCATATTTATAAATAGCCGAGGAAAATCCAGCATTCGCGGCCTGACGATTACGTCCAGCATGAAGCAGCCTGTCGCCTATGAGTGTTGACTTCAATGTTCACTTTGACATATATATATATATATATATATATATATATATATATATATATATATATATATATATATATATATATAACAATAAAATTGTTACATTTGGCCACATTCTCTTTATCTAGTTTTCTTGTGTGTGCAGGGTCGGTAGGCAAAAAAAAACACTGTTTATTATAAAACTGCATGTCTACCCAAATACAGGACGCCCTGTCAGCTGGGGCTTCAGAATACGCCGATTGCACTTCTGCAGATGTGTAAGACTCCCCCACCCAATGAGGCGTCCTGGGTATGACGATAAACTACATCTGACTGCAAGGCTCCTGGTCAGGAGGTTTTGAGTAGCGTTGAAACATCTCTTAATTGCTGATGTTCCCAGGTCCCGCTTGACCCGATATGGTAGCATCTGTCAGGGTCCCAGCTATGGGGGAAATGGTTACCCCCCCAAACTGAAGTCAAAACACGATGAAAGTTTAAAAATAGGTTTTGGTACAAGCAATAAATTTTTGAAAAAAGTACTAACCAATACATTTTTGGTAAAAATATTACCAGCAATACATTTTTGGGGAAAAAATAATATTACCAGCAATACATTTTTTGAAATAAAATTTTACCAGCAATACATTTCTTAAAACAAAAAATATTATCAGCAATATACTTTTTTAAAATAAAAAATATTACCAGCAATATATTTTTGGGGAGAAAATAATATTACCAGCAATATATTTATGAAAATAAAAGTATACCAGCAATACATATTTTGGAATAAAATTTTACCAGCAATACATTTTTTTGAAAAAAATATTATCAGCAACACAGTTTAAAAAAAAATATATTACCAGCAATAAAAATTTTGTTAGCATTAAATAACCCATTGAAGTTGATATGGCGTAAAACAAAACAAAGAAAGGAATCAAATACAAGTATCCACTAAAAATAACGTTTGACATACACACGCGTGTATATATATATATATATATATATATATACATACACGCGTATTGCATATATTGTAAAACTATGAGATTCATTATTTCTAGGTAAATGCATACATCGTTTTTCAAAACATTTATTTTCATCTTAACTTTCGACATGAAATGTCAACCTCAAAATAACGACGTTTTACAAAATATTTGTTCAATGATCCCCCCATACACACACACACACATGTATACACACACATACACATGCACCAATATAACTTCTTTATTAGTTTAAGGAACATTCTCTTTGTAATTTTATGGGTAATTATCACCAGTGAATATTTCCTTAAATGTAAAAAATAAAATAAAACACTGAGAGAGAGAGAGAGAGAAAGAAAGATATTTCACCGTGATTTGTTTAACATATCTGAAATGGATTATCCTTAAACGCAATGTTCTCAAAAATGGAACTTTCAGAGCCGCGAAATTTTTCTCTTGTGCTTCTGAAAATGGTACTCTCCAGTTTTTCCAGTGTGTTGTCGTTGAGAATGTCCGATTTGGTCTCTGAAAAATAATCGTCAGTGTCCTGAATAGAATCCGTATGCAAAAGCGTGAACGTCGTCCACGTATTCAAGTCTCTGTCGTAATTTGCCTTGTAATCACCCACCGAGGTGACCTCCACTTCTTCAGCGTTGTCGTCGTCGTAATCCTCGTCATCGTCGACTCCACGTGTCGCGAGTTCTTCGTCTTCCTCGTCGCTTGATTCGAAACTGTCGTTGAGGTTTTTCGTGTTCTCCAGACTTGATTCCATCAGGATCTCGTAAACGCCGCAATAGAGGTCGCCCGGTGTCTGACAGCACACGTGGAAGATATCGATGTAGCCGAACTGCGGGCTGAATATATCGTCGCTGGCCACGCTACTTGGTGTCGTCGTGGCCGATAAGATGGAGTGCCGGCTGCAAGAGCTTGGAATCGAACTGCACCGGCTTGCGTCCGTACTTGTCAAACTCATAAGTGATGCTTCGGATAAGTCCTCGGATTCATCCTCCGTCAGGTCACCACGGTAACATTCGTTGTCATTGGCACCGAGAGATCGTTCAAACTCAAATTGAGACGAAGGTGAAAACGGGCTGTCTTGATAAGTAGCCATTGTTATATATGTCCAATCGAAATCGGGAGAAAATTGCATACATTCGAACGAGTCGGCACCTTGTTGTTTCATAATGGCCGAACCATTGTCTGTGTTAATAACCAATGACTTCGTATCGTTATCATTGCACCCTTTCTTCCAGTAGGCGCCGAATTTTCGGTCCAGCTTGTTACTAACACACTCAATCTGGTTGACCAATATCCGAATGTCCCCGACTATCCCTTGTAAATTCCCCAATACGTTCTCTAGATTCCCAACAACGCTTCGGACAGATTGCTTGACCAATCGCCCTTGGCCTCCGCTATCGATGTTATCAGCGCTCGTGATCAAAGCGTTTTCATTAGAGTTCCTGTTTGCGTCAGCTGTGGGATTGCCGTTAGCGTTGCCGTAAACTGGGACTAAAGAACGGCAATAATTGTCGTTGATAGGCTGTAAAGTTTTAGGTCGTTCGCTTGGCTCCATCTTTACGTAACAATTTAAGACTTCTTTATATTTGTATATGTATTTGTGTGTGTATGTGTGTATATATATATATATATTTGTTTGTTTTGTTTTGTTTAATAATATTTGTTATTTTCTTTTTCTTTTATTTTTATGTGTTTGCTTTTTTGAATATATCTTTGTTCGATGATTTTCTTGTTGGTGGAGAACGATAGGATTAATCGGGGGGCTGGTCAGTCGGATGGGTGTGTGACTGGCTAGACCCGAGAAGAATAACAAAGAATAATGGTGTGCTGGTCCTTTGCAGAAGGCGGTTTTTGGTAATGCCACCTCAAACTGCTACCATTATGTACATTGCCTTTGCTTTTATTTTCTCAAACCTGCGGAAGAAATAAAAACACAATTAATTTCTTTTCAAGGAAAACATGAAAATAATTAGTTAAAAGAATTAGTTACACGTAAAAAAATTATGAAAAAAAAGTTATATCATCGAATTCTCCTTATCAATATATTCTATCTTCGAATAGACATCCGAGTTTTTTTTTTTAATTCTCTACAAAAGATGTTACAGTAATCATGTAATAGACTATATTTATTTTTGCAAAAATACAAAAAATATGACACAAGGCCAAAAGTGGGGATCCGGAAGGCTGGTAATCATCTGTCTTATCTTAAACTTATCTAGCCACAATCACTGACCCAAACAAACTCTACATTATTCCTTACTACAATCACCATAATACCTCAAGTCTCTATGGAGACCTAAATAATCCCTATATGTACAATTTGCCTGGGCGGGGCAAAGAATAACAACATTTTAAAAATTAACAAAATCTAATGAATATTTACAATATACATATTACTATATATATATATATATATATATATATATATATATATATATATATATATATATATATATAAAACTAAACAAAATTGTGTCAGTAATAAAAAAATCCATATCCTTAATTGTGACAGAAATATCTGTTAAATGGACGAAATTAATGCAGTAGTCGGATGAATTAAAACCCAATCATACAACAATCACACACAGCTACAAACATTTCCAATAGAGTATATCTATAAAAGAACAAATCACGTTTAAATTCATGCAGTCGAGGCATCTGTGTCACTGAATGGTTAACAACACATCAGATCAAATGATACTTCCCTATGGGGTCACAGGTTCGATTTCTGTCGAAGAAGTACATATTTTCTATGAAATTTCTGGAACACTCAGGCCGGCAAATGTAATTAATACTGTTTAGTTAAAACACGGAACATTTACTTAAATAAATTGTATCTATTAAAAATAACGTTTAAACAGAATATATATATATATCTTATTACTATTTTATTTCGTTCATCCGGGTTCATAGCTACCTAAAAAATATTTACTTAAATGCCTGCACCCTGACATAATCTCATTTCTCTCGTTAATTAAGACACCGTTATAAGGATATGTGTCATTGGCCAATTTCTCTTCCTGACACAGACGGTAACAATTACCACGGATTCTGCCAGTTTTCACCCACCTTACCATGTTCCACTTTACACATGGACCTCTGCCATAATACCTCTATCAGTATTACCAGACACAATCGGCAAGCTTGGTGTAGCCTGTATGGCTCTTCAAACTAAAAGACGAAGCATGACTTCAAAATCCCCCATATATATATATATGTCAAAGTGAACAGCCCGCGCAAGGAGTATTGACACATTATATGAAGATTGATTGAAGCTTGTTGATTTCTGCATCCACACTGTATTTTCTATGGGAGAGTATGAGACAAATAATTTTGAATTGTATGTTACCACTGGCAGGAAAAAAATCCATCACCAGTGCACTACACTGTCAACCATAGTAGTACGTAATTGAGAAGACTTTTGTGAAGTCCTCTCAAAATTGGAATAAAAGATGAATGCATGCCTTTTCTAAAAAAAAACATTAGTGACAAGCAAATACATGTATCCCTTGACCGGAAATTGACCTCGATTCTCCGATTCTGATTTTCGGCGCCAATAACCGCTAGACCATTTCGGTTGTAGTTCTTTGAAAAGACGCCTCGATTCGCCGGTAAGATGAAAACATAAGATATCCTGGCAGTAGTTTCCGCCTCTGAACTTCCACAGACATTTGATATTTCCGTTTTTTATTTTAGCGATTACGCAATGTCGATTCCAACCATCTGAAAAG